CACAACTGGTGATGAATGGCAGACTTAAGAAATGTCTAATAACCACAATAATCCACCAGCACGTCTCCGTACATACAGATGTACACCTGTGCACAGAGCACGCTGTCAGGCTGCATGTGGGCTGATTTATTGCTGCAAAAGCAAAGAGCATAAAACTGCACACACGTAAGGAGAGCGAGAAAGAGTGATTTATTACTCTGAAAGGCTCCAGCGGTCCCACATGACTTCCTATTTTTACACTCAACAGCTAACTGAAAGTGTATAAGAGCACAGTGTGAGCCAATAACTCTATCATTTACATTTAATCTGCATCTTTTCTTTCATACAGCAGAACAACGGGAGATTTACACAATACATTTTTTTTTCCAGGCTATTCCAGGATTTTTAAAAATGTACTAAGGGAGAGCAAGTGAGAGGGGCCCGTGGGAAATAAGACAATCTATTAGAAATAAATACAGAGTTGAGGAACGAGGGAAGTTGTTTTGGATTCAAAACTGCATGTTAATGGAAATATTTGCATCCTTACAAAAGTACAAAAACACTTCAATAAAGTGCTTCAGATTGAACGAGGAGCACATTCATGTTACATGCATTCATGAGCGCATCACTTTATAAACTTCTGTCTTATACTGCATGAAAATAGCACAATGCAAAACACTTTAGACTACAAGCCACATTTAAATCATTTAGTGCACTTCATCCATCGTGCATCCACACTTACAACAATTAACTTAAATTGCATGTAGTGGGGAAACCCACACAGGGAGGAAGAACCCAGTTAACCAGGAGATTTATCCAGTTGGTGAGAGTGCAAACTGCTGCAGGACTGCACCGGTGTTGTTATCTTCTATGGAAAATCAGAGCACTTCATGCAAATGAGGTTCAGGAACAACCCACTGTCTCAGGAACAACCCACTGTCTCAGGAACAACCCACTGTCTCAGGAACAACCCACTGTCTCCGGTTGGTGTGACGAATGGAAAATCAGAAGGACGTACTTTTAAAAATGTCTCCTACCTTTGCACACTGTTTATGATCACGACACCAGCCCAGGGATCCGTTGTTCTGAAGACGAGACTAAAATGAGGAAGACAAGGACACGAGCATAAACAAACAGGTCTGTCTGAGCACAAATGAATCCAGTTTAAAGCTGAGTGATGTCACTGATCAAGCTGCAGAGAACGTGAGAAACCAACAGGTGTCGAACTTTGCAGACTGTTAAAGTATTGAATAGGAACACATCTCTGTTTGTTTAAATAAAGCATGCAGACCTCATAGCTCAGCCCACACGTGATTACAGATACTTTATGCACGACGGTCTTTTCCACCAATATTCAAACTTCCAAACTTGTTGCTGTTGTCGGAGCAGCTTCTGTGTTTGGGATCAGACAGCAAAGACTGATTGCAGGCCTGTTACTCTGATGTTTTTAACCCTTTAAGAGACTGGAGCTGAACAAGCTGAACATCACACCATCCGTCCTGCCTAACGTGGATTCATTTTCCAGCAGGAACAGAACAGACTGCCAGTTTTCTCTTATCACAGAACAATCCAGTGCAACCGAATACAACCTACAAAAAACCTTATGACCTGGTTTTAAAACACAAACATCCAAAGTGCTCAGTTGAAGACAGGATGCCACTGACCAGTAAGTAGTGGTGGCTACATCCACTTTTGAATTAACACTGACAGTCTCCTGAGTTAAACCTGGTGACTTGGCAGGTGAATAAGAAATGTTTGTTTCTTTTTAATCTATGACCAGCTGGGGAATTGTTCACTGTTCTCCTTTTCTTCTTCTTTTCCATTTCAAAGCCGTTGAAAATGTTGGCAGCAAACAGTGAGATTGAAATATCGAACAGTGGTTGTCTAACAGCGCTGTTTGCTCTGCCTGTAGATAAATGGATGATCGAGAGCGGAGACAAACTGTCTTCTGTTTGGTTTTATTGAAGCCGAGGTCATTATGTCAATCAACAGTTTTAGTTATTTTGTTATCGGCTGTTTAAAACTGAGCTCGCATCAATTTCCTGAGAAGACTCCTTCTACAGAATCACAGGGATAATGAAAAAGTGTTCATTGACTTTTTCCATGCAATCTTCGCCCATTCTTCTTTGCAAAATAGCTCCAGTTTAGTCATCTGTGAATCCCAGTTTTCAAGCCTTGCCACAGAACAACAGGATCTAGGTGTGGACTTTAATTCTAGCACTGTCTACACCAGCGGTCTCCAACCTTTTTTGAGCCACGGACCGGTTTATGCCCAACAATATTTTCACGGACCGGCCTTTAAGGTGTCGTGGATAAATACAACAAAATAAAACTAGTACCGGTACCGAAAAAAAGAAGATTTATTCATAACACACGTGAAAAGACCCAGGAAAACAGAGTTAACGATAAAAACAATAACAAAATAACGCTGAAAACCGATAAAAACCCTGAAAACTATACATTTCACACCTGAGCCTCAACTCTCGCGGCCCGGTACCAAACGACTCACGGACCGGTACCGGTCCGAGGCCCGGGGGTTGGGGACCGCTGGTCTACACCACTCCAGTGTAGCTCTGGCTGTTACCAGTTTAAGCTGGCCAGTGAGCCTCACATCTGGGTGGCTGTAGCTCAGGCGGTAGTGCAGGTCATCTACTTATTGGAAGGTTGGTGGTTCGATTCCCGTCTTCCCCTAGTCTGCATGCCAAATATCCATGAGCAGGATACTGCCCCCAAATTATTCTCTGATGTGTGTGAATGTTAGTTAGAAAGTACTTAGAAAATGTGCTTGTGTCAATGGGTGAATGCACAAGTTGTGTAGTGCTCAGAAGAGAAGCGTTATATAAGAACCAGTCTGTTTACCATTACAGTGCAGTGGGAACTACTGCATCAGGTCGATAACTGGAAACATCACCAGCGTTAACAAATGAATCTAAATTTTGTGAAAGTAGAAATCATAACAGAGCTGCTGATTGAATTAGACAGTGGTGAAACATGAAACATATACTATGGCCATACAGGACAAGTCGTGCTTTTAACTGTGACTTTCACAGGAGCTTTGTGAGGACTGGAAAAACCTGAGGATGGACGTTGACTATAATAGTCTCAATCTAAAACAGGGTACAAAGGGTAGCCCTAAAATAAAGTGACATGCAGATTCACAAAGTCAATGTGAGCATGTTTCACACTTCAATAGTTAATGAATTGACATGAGTGCTGTGGGAATACTGGCTGCTGCAAAACTAGGAAAGGCAAAGGATGTATCAGTGATACATGTCTGAGGTGCAGCTTTGCAGAGCTGGAACTACAGCAGGGACACGGTGCAGTGGTCTGCTTCATGGCATGTTTGACGAGCACCACAGCACACGTTACAGGACCATCATTCTGTGCAGTTTCATTGGACTAAGTGAGGCACACTCGAAAGCCTGGACCAGAGAGTCACACTGCAAGTGTGTGCACGTGTCAGTGTGAGTGTGCACGTGTCAGTGTGAGTGTGCACGTGTCAGTGTGAGTGTGCACGTGTCAGTGTGTGTGTGTGTCAGTGTGTGTGTGTGTCAGTGTGTGTGTGTGTCAGTGTGTGTGTGTGTCAGTGTGTGTGTGAGTGAGAGAAGAATCCGTTTGAGTCCCTATAATGAGCCGTATCTATTCTGGCCTTTCAGTTGAACAGTGAACATCAAGCATGACTGAACTTATTTTTATCATGTTGTCGACTCCATGACGTCACCGTTTTACATCGTTTCAGACTCTTAGAGTTTTATGATATTTAGATGTAATTTCTAAAGTAAAGTTTTTTTCATTTTTCTTGTTGAGTCAGTGTCTCTGGAGCAGACTCACCATCATCCTCAGACCTTGTTTTGTAGTTTAAACGTGACTTTCCATTACCTTGTGCACTGGTTTCCACACTGGTTTCCCTAAAGTGCCCATATCTGACTGCATATGTTTCATTTTATAGCAGTATATATAATAAGAAATATATTTACTTATTATTTTATTAACTTATGTAACTTTACATAAATATTATTGCACATATCTATTGTTTGAAACTCTTTTTCAGAACTCATGTAAGGATCATGGATATTTTCTTTCAAACCAATAAAAAAAAAGCATAAAAAGTTAAATAAGTGAAATTTAAGGACTTTTGGCTGGTTATGTATAAACAGCCGATGTCAAAGGTGTCCTGACCTGCAGAATCGAGAGCGCCGCTACACTGTGCAAGCTGAGGCATCGCGACGCACACCTGGCCCTGGAAACGGTCTCCGACCAGGACTCGTCAGCATCGTGCTGCCTCCTGGCGCAGACACCTGAGCTGCAGAGGAAAATAATCCACAGGCTGGTCCTGACACCGCTGTTTGTGGTCAGCATCTCCGTTCCGAGGTGGGATGCTGAAACAAAAGATGCGGAGTAATGTGATGGAAGCCCAGCTTTACTGGCTATTATATAGCCAAGGGTGGAGCTATGAGATCTAGGCGTGCACAGCTCGGGTCAGGATGCTCACGAGCCGGTGTTTTCATCCCAGTCGGTCAGTGTGCGCACAGCAGGAGCTTTGGCTCAACAATTCAGTACTTTATTGTCCCACAAGGGGGGATTAGTTTAGCAGCAAGGGCAACATTAAGAAGAAACAAAACAATGATAAAAAGCCACAAGACAGTTATTTACTATCATTAGATGTAGCCAGAATAATACGACGCTCACAAAAACGCACAATGACGAATAAATGAGCAGTGACGTCATAATTGATCATGACCAGTTCAATGGCTGGTTTGCAGTAAGGTGTAGTAGTCAGGCCAATTGAGGGCAAGCTATGAATGTATTAATGAATGACCGCATTCTTCACACTCTTTATTACCGGTTCCTGTTTTATCCTCTCACGGCTGCAGCCTTCCAGCTCCCAGCCGAGCACACACCACCAACAACAGTCACGACCCAGTTCAGTCCTTTGAAGAGGCTTGTTGAGCCGACGCAGCTCCGGTGCGTCCGCCCCCGCCCCGCAGCCGCCACCGACCACGCCCTCCCGCAGAACTAAAATACAAACTTAAATTTGCTTCCATGAGCACTGGTCGTGATAAATGTCGAGCTCGAGCATCTAATTACACCATCATGGTTTGTGTGTCTGATACCAGCTTCATTGATGTTCTTGTTTCTGTATTTTATTGATCTACTTCTGAATCAGACTTCCTGTTTTATGAGCCAGGAGGATTTTCAGACTTTTGTGGAGCTGAACTGTTAATTCAGGTTTGGATGTGCACATTTGTAAAATAGTTTTACATGCAGTCAGATTGCTTTGCTCTGTGTG